AAATAATGAAAAATTAATAAAAGAAGAAAGAGAGGTAAGAACAAAAACTTAAGATTTCTTGAAAGCAAGTGATAATATTCAATATGTCCAATCTTATATAACTATATCTGTTAATCTGAGCAACAGATGTGATGATAAAAATAGATAATATATCAACCATTGTTAATCAGCTATTCTTCTTTGAAAATCTGTAACATATATGTTGTTGTATGCTACCCTATCTCCGTATTTGTTTTTGATTTTTGTTCTACTTTTGTTTTCACTCTTCAAAATAAAATAAAATTATAAAGAAACTGTTTACTATCAGTTCCTCAAATTATGTAGCAAAAATCATGTTTCTAATTATTGAACAAAATAATTCACAAATTTTTATTGTATCTTTATAATACAAATTACGGAAAGGACAGCCTGGGTCACATAAAACAGATGTAAGTAGAGAATCAACAGTATAATGGTCTTTCAAGACTATGAAGACCTATTTGCAATTTTCACTGTTTGGTCAACCTTGTGTTCAAAGCTAGCTATTTGTTGGTCTCTAGTTGAGAAAGGACAGGATGATAATTATGAGTATTGGAATGATTTGTGTATCTTTTGCTAAGCACTTGGTTTTTGTTCCTGTTTCTTTTTCAGGGAGCATTCTGGGGTCTGATGGTTGGACTTCTTTTCGGCATTATTCGTATGATTGCAGAGTTTTCCTATGGAACAGGAAGTTGCTTGGCTCCCACAAATTGTCCCAAGATTATCTGTGGAGTGCACTATCTATACTTTTCCATCATTGTCTTTTCTGTGACTACAATAGTTGTCCTGGGAATTTCCTTCCTGACAAAACCCATTCCTGATATAAACGTAAGTAATGGACAGTGGATGTATGCTCATTTTAAAATAAGACCTCCTTGATGCCTAAAGTTGCAGTTAGTGTGTAAATTGTAGGCCAAAAGAATCATTGTATCATTAAAATTAGAAATGGTAAATCAACACCATTATTGGGATACCAGGGACAACATAATTTCCCAAGAGACTGAGGAGACTTTGCAACAAAGCTATCACATAATTTGGGCCTCTGTATGATAAATAGAATTTCGTATCCAGTCTGAATACTAATACAGAGATCATTTATATCACATGATAACAGATAGCAGGACAGGGAATAGTGATATACATTCTTATCTTTCAAATTGATTTTAAAAAATCTATGTGACTGCTGTATAATGTTTGTGATGTGCAATGATAGTTTGGGTTTCCCCACTGAATAGAATTGTGGTGCATGTGACAATTGTATAATTTATGAGAGTCCAAAAGGGCAGTAATTATCAGATTAAACTCTCATGCCATATCCTGAAAATCTTCTAATCAAAAAATATAAAACTGCACAAATTGGGGGAAATTCAAATTTTCATCACTAAGGGAATGAATACACACTAATAGTGCATTGACTTTTATGCAGCTATTTAAAAACATAAGGGAAATCTCTTTATTTGTTGTTAAAATATTCTAATATGGTTAACTGGAAAAGATACCTATAGAAGAATATAGTATGTTACAATATTACTTTTGGAATGAAATATATGTGGGGAAATATAAATGTATAGATGTACAGACCAAAAATTCTTACAGCCTATAAGTCTAAAATAAACAAGAGGGGGGAAACTACCCGCTAGGAACCCCCTCCTGTCCCTCTCTCAGGACAAGAGCTTTCTTTCTCTCAATAAATATATTCTGCTCATAACAAAACAAAATCAAATCAAATCAACAAGAATATGTTTGTGGCAAGGAGACTCTAATGACCATGCAAATATTAACTTTTTAAATACAAATACTGTGTACATGTATAAATATTATTTGAATTTGTTACTAAGGGGTATAGCTTTTCTGTATTTATCATAATTTTTGAAGCAATGCTTATTTGCATTATTTCCTTAATGGATGTCCAATAGATGATGTGTAGATGGGAAACCTGAAGGGTAAATGTAGTTCAAATCACTCTTCCAAAGACATGACAACAGAATTCACCATTAAATACTTGTATTAAATATTAGATGTTGAAAAAATTGAAACTGTGAAATATTCCACACTTTCTACATAAGTGAATTTTAAATTATTTTATCCAATAGAAATAACCACCATTTATCATCAAATTTTTGGGAAACATGTTTACTAGAAATTAAGAGAGACCACTTCTAAATTTTTGCTTATAAATTATGTCTATTTTATGTCATATGAATATGTACCAAGAAATGGGATATCTGAATCCTATGATAGTTTTATTTGTAGGGTTGTTTGTGGGGATGGGGCTTCCCAGGGCTTCCATATTGCTTGGGTTCTTTTTGCTCCAAATCCTTGTCAATTTCTGTTATTTCTCATGTTTCTGTTATTAACCATTTTA